TTAAATATGCAAATAGAATTAATTAATTAAATTAATATAACCCTAACTTACCTTTGTAATCGTTTGGTTGTTCAAATCTTTTTTCCTCGTACAAGAAATTCGCATTAATCCGCTTTCAAATTTCAGGATTTAAATAACTTTGATCCTGATTTAATAAAGTTTTGCATCATACACTCACACACATATATATAAATTTATTTAATTTAATTAAAATCTTAAGATTTTCCATTTAAAATACTTTGGTCAAACCTTCAATACAGCACCGCACGAGCCCTTTCCATGGTCTTCTTGGCGGGAAAATTTGTGGACCTTGGCTCTCCTTCCCCTCTTCTTCCCGCAAGGCTCGAAAGCACTAACGTGCGCAGAGCTCTCTTCTGGGGCTTCTTCTTCCTTTGGCCACGAGCTCTACAAAAAATGTTTCCTCCTTCGATCTCTGCTTGCGAGTACGACACAAAAGTTTCCTTCTTCCTCCTTGACTTCTCCTTCTTCTTCCTTCCTCTCCTTTTCGCAATATCTGCGCATAAAGTCACGGATTCCTCCTACCCTCTCGACTTAGATCAATTAGGGCTCAAAATAGGACAGCACGCGTTCAATCTTTCTTCTTCCTCCTCTTCCTTTGCATTTGAGCACAATATTGAAGCCGCTCGACCACGTCCCTTCCCTTCTTGCCTTCGATTTCTTCTCCTTCACCTCCGCAACTTCACTTCTCGCCCCTATGATTTCTTCATTTGGAAGAGGACACACGACTCTTAAGTCGTAATCGAAGGGATAAACGGATGCGTAATCTAATTGTTTATTCAATGTATTCTTATTTATATCATTATTATTTAATATTTATTTATTTTTTATTTTATTTCTATTATTACATATCCACTTGACATTGAAGCTCCTCTTGTTCCTTTAGAGACACTCTATGTGCTGGTTTGATAAGGATGGTCGAACTAGGCATAAAGTTAAAGGCATGTTGTACCTCTCATAGGAGGTAATCCTGCAGGAATGTCCTATCGAGAAGATGTCTTCAAACCGTTGTATAAATCCCTGGATTTTAAAAGGTGTCGAGTGTTGTCCAAAATTTTTGGTAATGATTAGGAGGAACCCCGTCGTTGCCTCAATCAGAACTTTAAAAAACAGTGAAGTAAAAGTAGTGACTTCAGTCCTTCCTTAATTGGCAACAAGATGGTTTGAATTTAATCTTTAATAAATGAATAAGTGTTTGCATATTCATCACAAATTGTATGTTCATCGTGTTGTCAAGGCCGACCAAGCAATATATGACAAACTTCCACGCAAATTACATCACATAAAACCTGCTCCTGAAGTTTTTGACAAATCAAAAATTACACCAAGTCTTATTAAGTGACTAATTTCAGCCTCCTACTTGAGCCATGTGACTTGGTGGGGATGGGGATGAGGTTGTGTAGCTAGCCCAAGCTTCTCCATCATAATTGTTGAAACCACATTTTCACAAACTTATGTCGTCAATGATAAGGTTACAAACCTTGCCCCGAGCCGTGCATCAGGTTTTAAATAAGTGTCGTAACCAATCCTGATGGGAAGATTGTTCGACACTTAGGAGAGCCCTTATCACAAACAATTCCCCCTCACCCACATGCATTTAATTTCAGCCTCCTACTTGAGCCATGTGACTTGGTGGGGATGGGGATAAGGTTGTGTAGCTAGCCCAAGCTTCTCCATCATAATTGTTGAAACCACATTTTCACAAACTTCTGTCGTCAATGATAAGGTTACAAACCTTGCCCTGAGCCGTGCATCGGGTTTTAAATAAGTGTCGTAACCAATCCTGATTGGAAGATTGTTCGACACTTAGGAGAGCCCTTATCACAAACAATTCCCCCCCACCCACATGCATTACTTGATCCCTTGTCAGAGTACCATCTTCTTTGCCTACAACATCATCTTCCTCTAACAAGGAAATGACGTGTTGGTTTGGACAATTTGAAGGGCCAAAACCATGTCATTTGAAGCATCTCCCATCTCTGTGGTAGCAATCCCCCGCAGGTGCATTGGAGTTCTTCTGCTGTTTACAGCATTCCGACCTCCGCGCTGCATCCTAGCTTGGACTAGTTTGCTGGAACCGGCAAGATAAGTGGTAGGAATGCACTCCTACCCAATTTTTGCTATTTTTCTACCTTCCCAGCCAAGCTAATCACAAATTGGGCTGTCCAGAAGGGTTGGACTTGAATCCCATTGCCTATAAATGGTCGTAGACCACCAAAGAAACATGCAATTTTGTGTTCTTCCGATTCCGAAAGGTCAAATTTCACTCCTAGCTGTTTAAATTCAGAAGCATACTCTTCCACGGACAATTCTTGTTGATGAAGATGGTGTAGCCAAATGAAGACCTCTTGTCAAAAGTGTTCCGAAAGAAATTTACGTTGTAATTTGTTCTTCATGCTGCTCCAAGTGACAATTTTGGATTAACCCTCCCTTTGTCGCATTCTCTTCATGTTTTCTCACCAAAGGGAGGTGTTCTACCTCAATTTAATTGCTACAATCTTCACAATTTGTTCTTGGGGTACTTTTTTTAAATCAAGAATTCTCTCTACCATATTTAGCTGATTAATAAATTCATCCGGATCTAGTCGGTCTTCAAAATTAGGAATGCCAATCTTCATTCCAAAATCAGCAACGTTGTGGTGTCTTTCCTTCTTCCACTTAGGCAGGGGTTGCGCCTCATTGATGTAAGATTCTTGGTGAAAAGAATTTTCACCTTCTTCCTCCTCCACCGCATCCACTCCAAGTTTCATGGTTCTATCCTCAGAGTTTCTTTGCTCCAAGACCGCAAGCCGCTAGTCACTAAATTTCACATTCTAAGACTTCTACAATCAGTTTTTTGATTGGGTCTTGTAATATTTCTTCGTGGTGGCAATTTGAGAGCGGAAAGAACTGCAACGAACATGGGCAGCAATAGAATTAAGAAGCAAATTAGGGACAGATTACTGCACGCCACATTTGTGCAAGAAGTGGTATCAAGAAGCCAAAAACAGCAGACTTCTGCAGCTGGCAGGAAGGAATCCAAACATCTGAACAGCAGCGGAACCCAATTCCAGCCGAGCAACTCAAGAAAGG